AAAGTAGTCAAGGTAAAATCACTGATGTCCAAAATTTGAAATTCCTAAATTAGTTAATTTCTTACTTAGCAATTTAGAGAGAGGAATTAATGGTTGTCTCAAAATTCTATAAGATTTTACTGCAAGCTTAACTCCTATTATGTCAGGAGTCTCAGTTCTTAAATATAAATCAAGAAAATAAGATAATTTAGAAACCCCAAATTTCTAGGAAAATAGGACAACATTGAGATTTGAGTTTAATTCACCTGGGACATAAAAAAGACATTAATCTTGGTTTTGAGAATGTAACATGTAATGAGAGCCAATTATGTGTCAACAAGCAATGGAAATTCAAAAAATAGTAAGAAATATAAACTTGCCTTTGAATCCAGGAAGAGAGAGACATAATTACAGCACACTAATGAACTTAACAGAATGAATAAACAAAATACATTGGGTGAATAACTCAGTGATATGGGAAGATGGCGAATCAGAGGGTATAGGAGTCCTAAAAAGCACAGCATTAAGTTTTCTCTTGAAAAAAAAAAAAACAGTAGAATTCACTACAAGACAAGAGAACAAAATGCACACTAAGCAGTGGGGAGAACAAAAGTGAGTCAGGAAGCAATAATGTTCATTTAGTAAACTGCTCTTATTTCTAAAACTGGAACTTGAGATTACGGTAGGGGAAAGACAAATGAGCCAGATGATGAAAGGCCTTGTAATGATAAGAGTTAAGACTAAATACTGTAGGTACAAAGGAAGTATGGGTTTTAATAAACAAGTGATGAACAGATTTGCATTTTAGAAAAATTACCTTGGCAGTAGTATATGAATGGATTAAAGGGAGTCAAGTCTGGAAGCAACGACTAAAGATGTCATTCTCCATACAGAGTTAAATAAGGATGATAAATAATGATAGAAACAAGGATCAAAAATTTAAAAACAACCATCCTTTAACAGAAAAAACTAAATGACCCAAAGGAAATCATTTACCTTCATGAATGTATACTGTGGGGTTAAAAAATTGGCATATATCTTTAAAAAGAAGAGGCTTCTAAAATTAAGTCTAATATATAAAAACTATACAGAACTAATTGTATCCTGAGAACTAGCCTTCTACATAGCCACTCTACAGTATCTGTCCCTTCTTGTATATATAATATTGCAAATCTGCAACATAAAAACCAATGTAGTTTAATTCTTAGAACCTGGGGTTTATATTGACTACTGACAGAGACTTCTCTTACTGTGTGTGTGTGTGTGTGTGTGTGTGTGTGTGTGTGTGTGTGTATGTGTGCGTGTAAATATGGAAAACAAGGCCCTAAAAGACTAAGGAATTATCCAAGGTCATGCTGTTAGTAGTACAATGAAGACTGGCATTCATATCTGATGATTTCTTTTCTAGAAATTGCTTTAATATATCACATTTATGATTTTAGAGTTTTGAATAACTCAAGACACTTTGGTACTATCACTTTCAGCAGTGTAATAATGATATTATAAAGCTTTTCAGAGTTCATATGACTCACAATAAAAACATCTATTAGATGTGTACATGTTTGACTGACCGAAAAAATAAAGAAAGAAAGAAAACTTTCCTGACACTTGTCCCACACTAAGAACACCTCCCTCCACCCAAAAAACTCCCTCTTCTTCTCTAGGGAGCCTACAAACCTCCTTTCTCAAACTCAGAAAACAATTTTAAAAAGAGCTAAGATTAATTCATCTTTATATAATTAAATATCCAACATCTTTTAACATTTTACTTAGGTCTACATCTTATTTTTGTTGTGTTCACCACCTCACCCTGACCCTATAATTTTTAGACACTTGAAATATCTTTTTTCTTCATTTGTACAAACAGATGGAAGTGGCAATGTTAACACAAGCCTCATAA